TTAATGCGTAATTAATGATTAATCGTGAGATTTGCTTGTGATCGAACTGGTAAGCATGAATGTCGAGAAAGAACTATTTTTGGAAAGACAGTTGAAACGTGTGCTTATTTTGTCTCCAAGCGTGTTTTGTTTCTTCTCCCGATCAGGTAGGTCGGGCTCGTCTTCTGGGAAGACTCTGATGCTCAACCGCAACGGTAGTAAGCCCTAAGCTGTGTAACATGAGGCTCACTTACAACTTTTCAAAATATTTCACATACACTCTGTGAACATTTCACATTGAATTTATTTACTTTTATTATTATACTCATCGCGCTATTCACAATGAACACAGCTTCTTTTTTACTTAAGTATCTAATACAATTTATCGTGCCTGAAATATTACGTGGTTCTATTACGTCAAATAAGGTTTACATATGACAATCCAAAATTATCCACATTTATTCTGTTAATATATCATATCGATTTTAAGGCCTCATAATAGTCTATGCATCACGGTTACCATAATCACCACCATTTCTTTGTGCACAGATATCATCTAATTATATCTACATCGCTTGAAGTATTATGGAGTACTGCAAATTTTAATCTTGATTACTTCTATCTATTCAAAAACTTCCTCATTCTTTCTGTCGCGATAAAAAATCGATTTTATAGTCTCATATTACTTTACACATTGCGGGATTCGCAAAAAATGCCATTTTTTTGTTTGTAAGTACCATGTAATATTATTTAACTAAACGGTCTGCTACGGATTTCAGGTACATGCAATGAGATTTACATGACAATTCAAAATTTCCCACATTCATTCTTACAATATATCATATCGACATTATTTCCAAACTATTACAATTTCTTTGAACACAAGTATCATCTAATATTATCTATCACGCCTGAAATTTTACTGAGCACAGCAGCGTAAAATCTTGTATACATATACAGCTCATAATATTCCACATTCGTTCTGTCAATAAACTATATAGATTTTATGGTATTACATTAATCCACGCATTCCGAGATCCATTTTTTTAGTACGTAAATATCACCTAATACTATTTTAACGACCCTGACATATTACAGAATTCCGATACGTGGAATGAGGTTAACATATCGCAATTCAAAGTTTCCCAGATTCATTCTGTCGACATACCATATCGACTTTATGGCCTAATAATATTCTAGGCATCACGGGATTCACAATGAGCACCATCCCTTTGTACATAAATATCGTCTAATATCATCTACCGCGCCAGAAATATTACGGAGTAGAACAACGTCTAATGTTGTTTACATTCGTCACTTCCAAATTTTCCACACTTATTTCTGAAAACATACCATATCGTTACTATTGCCTTAAATTATCCTACCTTTTGCGATATTTGCAATTAACAGCTTTTTTTGTTCGTAAATATCATGTAATAATTAGTTGCGAGCCTGAAATATACGAATTTCCTGTAGGTAGAATGAGGTCTACATATGGTCGTTCAAAATATTCCACTTTCACTCTCCCAATATATCATATAGGATTCAATTCCTAATAATATTCTACGCATCACGTGGTTCATAATGACCACCATTTCATTGTATATAAATGTCATCTAATATTATCTATCGCGCCTGACATATTACGGAGATCAAATTACGTGGAATGTTGTTTACATACGCCAATGCACAATTTTTCACAATCATACTGTCAGTGTACTATAGATTTTATGGTACAAAAATAATTATACGCATTGCGGTATTCGCAATTAACGCCATTCTTTTGATCGGAAATATTATATAAATATATTTCAACTTGCCTGCAATATTACGGATTTCCTTTCCGAGGATTGAGGTTTACATGTGACCATTCAAAATTTCCCACATGCATTCTGTCAACGTATCTTAAAGATCTTATTGCCTAATAATATTGTGATCACCATAGGGATCACAGTGACCACCATTTCTTTGACATAAATATCATATTATAATATTTGTCGCGCCAGAAATATTACGGAGTTCTGCAAGGTGGAATATTGATTACATGCTTCAATTCAAAATTTAACACAGTCATTCCGTCAATGAACAATATAGATTATATTCTCCCATATTATTCCCCACATTACGAGATTCGCAATGAACACCATTCTTTTTTCAACGTAAATACCTTCCAATACTACTTAAACTGCATGAAATATTACTGTTTTCCGGTTCATGGAATGAGGTTTACATATAGCAATTCAATATTTACAACAATCATTCTGACAGTATATCATATCGATTTCAATATCGTCCTAACAATATTCTACGCATCACGTGGTTCATAATGACCACCATTTCTTTACAAATAAATATCATCTAATGTTATCTATCGCGTCTGAATTATTACGGAGTACAACAACGAGGAATGTTATTTTCATATCTGAATTCAAAATTTTCCACATTCCTTACATCAATATACCATGTCCATTTACTTGCCTTACATTAACCTATGCATTGCGAAAATCGCAATGAACGCCATTCTTTTGTTCGTAAATATCATCTCGTTTTATCTATCGCGCCTGAAGTAATAAGGAGTACAGCAACGTGGAATGTTGTTTATACTTGTCATTATATAATTTTCCACTTTCGTTCAGTCAATATACCATATCGATTTCATTGTCTTTGTAAACACCAGTCAGTGCCGTAGGACTGTAATAATTCATGGTCGGTAAATAGAGTTTGATGATATATATGTATAGAGAAATGGTGTTCATTGTGCATCCCGCGATGTGTAGAATAATATACCAAAATCAGTACGATATGACATAATGTCAGAATGAATGTCAAAAATTTCGATTCGTCACAAGTTAGTATGAATCTCGGCATGATGTCTGACGGCTAACATGGATCGTTACTAGGACTAATGAAGTTCGTTTTACGCCCTGATGTCTAACACGCGAACATGTTTCTTG